TAGCGACCCCCATGCGACAGAGTAGAACTGGCCCATAAGAGTCTTCTTTGCTGTAATATTTACAGAAGCGGATTGCCAGGCCATTCTTCCCTGGTGCCGCTGGGTGGGTTTGAACTGCCAACCTTTAGGTTACTAGTTGAGTGCAAACCGTTTGTGCCACTAAATATTTGTCAAATTCACTAATCCATTCATTCAACAAGCATTTATTGAGCATTATAGGCACTGTGTTAAATGCTGGAGAGCCAAAGATGAAGAAGCCATTGCCTTCAAGAAGATTAAGGTATATTCAAAGAAATAAATAGAGTGTAGTGATTAAAAACATGTTCAGATATGAGCATATAGAGGAGAGTACCTTATACAGTGGAGCCCTAGTAGTGAAGTGGTTAAGAGCTGCAGCTGCTAACCCAAAGGTCAGCAGTTCAAACCCACCAGCTGCTCCTTGGACACCCTATGGGGGCAGTTCTACTCTGTCCTATAGGGTTGCTATAAGTCAGAATTGACTCGATGGCAACAGTTTTCCCTTATATAGCAGAGGGTGGGGGAAGTTGAATTTTACAGAAAAATAGATGTCAAGAAAAGCATGTTATAATATAGTAAAGGAAAAGACATACCCTGAAAAGAAACTATGATTTATTCCTCTGGAATCTGTCCCATACAAACAGCTCAAGCCTGACCATGATGGACTGGAAAGCATTATCTTTTTCTGATGGTTGAGTACTTGATTGCAATGGTGCTGATAAAGATGCATTGATAAGTCTGTCGCTTTGTTTTAATCAGCTGCCAAGACCCACTGTTCTTTAAATATCTAACATTTTCAACTCCTGTACAAATATTTTAAAGTAAATCCTAAGAAGATAATAGATTTATATATGGATTTCCATGTCAGTCAGGTAAGATCCTGAGGGTGGTGCAGGACCGGGCAGTGTTTCATTCTGTTGTACACAGGGTCGCTATGACTCCCCGGCACCTAACAACAGCAGGTACTTATGTATTAATGTACTAATGCTGCATATATAAACAATTGGAAGTGGTGATTACAGCTAAAAAACAATTTCCACTTGAATAATAATGGCTTTGAAAAATTTAGTTCTATTTGAAGTTTACCAAAAACTTAAAATCAGTTCGAAAACAACAACAACAACATTGCTGTTGAGTTGATTCCAACTCATAGCAACCGGTAGGACAGAGTAGAACTGCCCCATAGGGTTTCCAAGGAGCGGCTGGTAGATTCAAACTGCTGACCTTTTGGTTAGCAGCCAAGCTCTTAACCACTGCACCACCAGGGCTCTGGTTACTATAAGAAAAAGTGACAGCTGGGATAAAGTTTTCAATTAATTTTAATGATCTGAATCAAAAGGAATGAAATTCTTGACCACTTCAGAGTCACTTCCAAAAGCACAATCTCATCCATTTATTTCAAAAGCATTTAACTATGCACCCACTTGCTTTTGGATGCTGGGATGACAAAGACGAATGAATGAGACATAGAGCTTGCACATTTGGGGAGATAGGCTTGGAAACAAACTATCTACCTACAATTTCAAAGACAGCACCAAGAGGAGTTAGAGAATGCCTCTCAAAGAGGTGATTTTCTTTTTTTCTGCTAAATTGTATTTATTTTGTTGTTGCTTTGAGAGAATATACACAGCAAAACATAGACCAATTCAACAGTTTCTACATGTACAATTTAGGGAATTGATTACATTCTTCCAGTTGTGCAACCATTCTAGCCCTCCTTTTCTGAGTTGTTCTTCTCTCATTAACATAAATTCTGTGTCCCCCTAAGGTTTCTATCTAATCTTTTGAGAAGCTGCTGTCAATTTGATCCCATGTAGATAGTTCTTAAAAGAGCATAATGCTCAAGGCAGACCTTTTTTTCTACTAGTTAAGCTAAACTATTGTTAGGTTTTAAGAAGATTTCAGGGGATATTTTTGGTTTAAGGTTTAAAGATTATCTCAGGGCGATAGTTTCAGAGGTTCGTTCATCCTCCATGGCTCCAGAAATTCTAGAGTCCGTGAAAATTTAAAATTCTCTTTTGATCAGGATTCTTCTATGGAATCGTTGGTCAAAATGTTCAGTAATGGTAGCCAGGCACCATCCAGTTCTTCTGGTCTCATAGCGAAGGAGGCAGTTGTTCAGGAAGCCAATTAGCCACACACTCCATATCCTCCTCCTATTCCTGACTCTCCTTCTTTTGTTGCTCCAGGTGAATAGAGACCAATTGTTGTGCTTTGGATAACCGCTTGCAAGCTTTTAAGATTCTAGGCACTACACAATGAACTAGGAAGTAGAAGAGAAGCACTAAGCTCATTATTAGGCCAATTAACTGGGATATCCCATGAAACCATGACCTTAAACCTTCAAGGAGGTGATTTTTGAATGATTTGTTCATCTGGTGAGGGGAGCATACTGCAGGGAAAAGGCACAGAAGTGGGGGACCTGTCATTTGATATGGCTCATGTGAAAAAAAAAAAAAAAAAAAACCCTGACCCGTTGCCATGGAGCTGATTTCAGCTCATGGCATCCCCATGTGTTACAGAGCGCAACTGCTTCACAGGGTTTTTGTGGCTATACTCTTTATGGAAGCAGATTGCCAGGCCCTTCTTTTGTGGCATTGCTGGGTGGGTTCCAACAACCAACTTTTATGTTAGTAGTCCAGCACAAACCATTTGCGCCACCCAGGGACCTTCCATGGCTGGTGTGAAGGGCATGTATTCACTGAAAACATTCAGTATGTATTTAAATGTCGACTAGGTGCCAGCCTTGAGTAGCTGGAGGTCATTAATCAAGGACACAATACCCACAACAATAAGCTCAAACATATCAAAGATCATGAAGATGGTGTAGGACTGGGCAACATTTAGTTCTGTTATACGCGAGGACACCACCAGTCAGGTCTGCTTGACAGCAACTAACAAGAACAGGGCAGATTTAGGGAAGATGCAATGTGTTGAGCTTGGGGGAATTGGCAGAGGGGAGAAGTGGGGAAAGGAGCGTAGGTAAGTTCTGGGAGGAAGATGTAGCGGTTATCTACTGTCTTACCACATGAGACTTAAACCATGTATGCCAGGGCCTGTTTAAAGGGTATGTGTATATATATTGTCATTTTAAAATACATATTATCCCATTTAGTCTCCATTTAAACAGAAGAATGAAGGGATACACTGTGTAAGTTAACATGTAAATAACCAGCCCTGGTTATCTGATTCTGGTGCCCTTGCTTTTATTTATTTTACTGTACTTTAGATGAAGGTTTACAGAAGTTTCTCATTAAACAGTTAGTACACATATTGTTTTATGACATTGGTTAACAACCCCATGACATGTCAACACTGTCCCTTCTCAACCTTGGGTTCCCTATCACCAGCTTTTCTGTCCCCTCCTGCCTTCTAGTCCTTGTCCCTGGACTGTTGTGTCCTATTAGTCTCGTTTTGTTTTATGGGCCTGTCTAATCTTTGGCTGAAGGGTGAACCTCGGGAGTGAGTTCATTACTGAGCTAAAAGGGTGTCTGGGGGCCATACTCTTGGGGTTTCTCCAGTCTCCATCAGGCCAGTAAGTATGGTCTTTTTTTGTGAGTTAGAATTTTGTTCTACATTTTTCTCCAGCTCTGTCCAGGACCCTCTGTTATGATCCCTGTCAGAGCAGTCAGTGGTGGGAGCCAGGCACCATCTAGCTATACTGGACTCAGCCTGGTGGAGGCCGTAGTGGTTGCGGTCCATTGGCGCCCTTGCTTTTAACCAGTGCCTAGGCTGTCTCCCCAGTTGCAGATTTGAGAACTATTGGTTTTGGACGATGACTGAAATGACAGGCCTGGTAGACATTTCTCAGGCAGAGGAAGGAACCCTGGGGAACAATAATGCAAATGAATAAGTTTGTGAAACCACATTAACAATTTTCCTTCTACACTTCTTTATTATCAGATTAATTTCGGTGCCATTTACTAAATGAAGTACTGAGCTCCACTGGGCTTAACTGGGTTGAAGGTATCTGGACATAAGTAACCCACATCAAAACCAGGACGCACCAAAAAGCCATTCGAGTTTTCTGGCACCCTTGCCACAATCTAGGATCTAGGGCACTCTTTTAAGATGGACCTCATTTTTTATTCCAAGGATTTATTTTTTATGTGAGCAAATACGAATTTTTTTAGTTGAGGAGGATGTTTGGCCAGCCCACCGATCCTGGAGAGTGGGTGATCACGGATCACTAGTGTTCTCTGGGCGAGACAGTTTAATTAGTTCCCTCCTCCCCTCACCCCGCCCCCAGTCTGGAAAGGTGCAGTATTCGCTTAACAGTGCGGCGCACAGCGGCGGCCGGAGCAGACGCGGGATGGTCGCACGTCCCGAGCAGAGCAGAGGGGGGCAGCCAGATTGCCAGGCGAAGGTACGAGCAGAATATCGGGAAACAGACCGCTGTCTGGAAAGAGCAGAGGGTCAGTTCGGCGGGGGAGGAAGTTGCCTACTGCAGGTGTGGAAGGGGCTGCTCCAGGCCAACGCTTTGCAGCCAAGGGGGCGGGGAGCCGGGCCGGGGACCTGGAGATTGCGGTCGGGGCGCGCTGCCCATGCACTCGCTCGCCCTCTTCCCCAACCACCCCAGGAACAGCTCTCGCCCCGGTGCCCACCCAGCCGGGAACAGCACCGCAGCGCCCGCGGCGGCCGCT